TCGGGGATGCAGGCGCCGCCGCCGCCGCAGCGGAACTCGCGGGGCCCGCAGGCCGGGTCGGCGCAGCCGCGCTCGTCGCTGCCGTCGCCGCAGTCGTCGTCGCCATCGCACACGAACACGGCGGCCAGGCAGGAGCGGTTGCTGCACTGGAACTCGTGCGGGGCGCACACTGCGCGGGACAGAGAGCCGGTCGGCCCTGCTGCGGGAGCCCTGACGCTCGCCCTCAGGCCGCAGGCGCCCTGCGGGGGGCGGGGGACTTCCGATCCGGGGCCATGCACGGGGACCTGGGGCGACGCGCCTGCCCCTCCCTGAGCCTCGCAGCCTCACTGGGAGCGAGCATTCCCGTCCCGCGGCGGCCAGCATTGCGGCGGGGCGCTGCCTGTCTCCAAGGGCCTTGTGATGGTCCCAGGAAATGATACCGGACGGGACACCGACCCTTCCCCAGGGCACGAGGTCTGGGGCTGTTTCCTGAGGGCAAGGCTCTGGCCCTGCCCCACCCCCATGTGCCCACACCATCCCGGCTCAGTCCCCTGGTCTGGCGTCCAAGGCCACTGGCACGGAGTCACTGCCCTACCCGAACACCTCGGCCGCACACACCCTGGCTTCACCCATACTAGACCATTCACCCACCTCCTCACCTCCAGGCCTTCACCCAAGCTCTTCCCCTCTGCCCACTTCCTGTCTCTTCCTGCCAACCACTGTCGCTGCATTTCGCAGTGACGAGTTCTCATCCTTCAGGGGCCCGAAGTCCACCTCTTTTATAACACACTGTACGTGCTCCTACTTGGGAAGCCTCCCTCTCCCTCTGTTCTCCTTCTGCGTGCCCTTCACAGCATGTTCAAGTGTCTGGGTCTCATGTCCTGTCTCCCTCACGACTACTGCATGGGGACCGGCTCTGAGACCCAGCTTCGACCGGAGGGCCTGGCACAGAGGTCCCTGCAGGGGGCGGGTGTGGAGTGAATGCGTGCAGGGCCAGCGGGGGTGTGCATGTGCAGTAGTTAAGGGCACAGGTCAGTGGCCCTTCCTGGGGCCCTGGGTTTCCTCTCTCTAGTGAGCAACTCAGCTCAGAGGCTGGGAGGGCTTTGGAGACCACCAGCCCAACTGCTAGTTTATAGATGGGGAAACTGAGGCCCAGAGAGGAGCAACTTGCCCAGAGTCACACAGAACCAGAACCCAGGTTTGGGGCTCTTCCCTCCTACTCTGACCCCTCTCAGCTTTCTGGTTTGCTCCTCTTTTCCTGGAGTGTAGGCAGTTATCAGAGCAGAGCAGTGACCTCATCTCCCTTCTTCATTCCTTACACCGAGGCCGTGGATACGCCTGGGGGCTGCAGCCTTGGGTTAACATGGTGGTGGCAGCACCAGATCTTTCCATGTGGGGGCGCCAAGAGTCTGTTTTTTATTTTCTGATAGAAAAATGTCATTTTTCATTGTTACTGAACATAAAATAGAATGATGTCTTCAGTTTCACAATGTAGGCAGCTCATCATGTGTTGCTGACAGCTCTATCAAGTTTCTGACAGCTGCATTTTCCCCCCTTCTGGGCTTTTGGGATGTTGGGGCACTGGTGGGGAAAGCACACACTACCTTGTGATGTCTGCCCCTCAAGATTACGCAGATGCCTAGATTAGCTCCTCACTTTCCTGCCAGACTCAGCTTGCATGTGTCTGGGGGGAAGGACTCACTAAGTCACTTCCTTACACTGAGCTCTCCCTGAGGCTTTAAAGTTGACAATAGCTTCAAGAGCCATATTCTCAGACCTGCATCCAGAGACCCCACTCCCAGCACTCCCAACTGGAAGCAGCTCTGGGGAGGGAGAGAAGGAAGAATTCTTTCTCCTCTGCCCAGGTGGTTGGGAGCTGTAGCAGAGACATCCAGTAAGACCTTCGAACCACCCTCCCCTGTCTCGCATAATTAATGAGGAACATGCCTGCCACCACATGGCCTAGTTAGAGATACTCCCACCCCATGCAATAGCGGCTGATGGCCCTTAGAGCTGAGGAAGCATCTGATTATGGGGTGGGGGGGGGTAGTAAGGAGGGAAGAGGATTCTCATTGGCCATCGAAGCCCCGCAAAATTATCACAGCTGAGGAAACAAGCCAGTGCCATCACTAGGGCTTTGAAACTGCCTGCCAGGATCTCCCCCCATACCCAGATGCTTCCTGCTTCAGACACATCAGAACTCCAGACTTGGAATCTAGAGTGCTGTGTGACTCAGAAGCCTCCGGAGAGATGGCATTTCCCCTGGGCCAGGGAGGATGGATAGGATGTAAATATAGAGGCTGGAGGAGGGAGTGCGGTGGGAGGCAGTGGTGGGTGAGTGCCTGGCAAAAGCTCACACAATACCCCATAATACCCCAAACCACCCATATCTCAGCCCAGCCTTGCAGCCTAGTTATTGACAGCCAGTCTGTCTCTCCTATTAATCATGAGCTCCCGGAGGAAGGAGTGTGTAGGATTCACCTCATCATCCCTTCCAGAGCCTGGCTCCAGGCCTGGCACACAGTAGGTGTCCATCCAATTGCATAGCCCCACTGGCCCCGGACCTGCTGGCCTGCTCCCGGGGAAGGAGATAATCCTGTGTTTGAAGCTCAGTGATGTGGAACTGCCCCAGTGACCAGTTCCATCTGTTCCTGCTGAGGCTGCTGGGGGTCTTCCCACCCTGTGACTTTCGTGCTCGAGTCTGAGATTTCAGCATCAGACGTCCTTCACACTTCAGGAGTCTGCCCCTCCCCCCCCCCCAGCACCTCCAGCACCCTGGCTGGGGAGGCCACCATTACTCCCCAAGGCCCGGCCCTGGCCCCCAGCCCTTGCTCGGGGGTCGGTGGAGACGGATGGGATGGATGAGCAGATGTCAGATATGGTAAAAATACTCCTGGGCTTGGCTGTCCAGAGCCGGGTTTGAATCTCAGTTCCACCACTCAGCCTTGGGCGCTTTTCCTCGCTTGTCTGAGCCTCAGTTTCCTCACCCAGAAAATGGGGATGAGAATGGCTGCTCGTGCGGTGGTTGTGAGGATGAAAGCAGGAAATGTCTCTCCAGAGCGCCTGGCCATTACTAGTGTCCTGATCGTTACCCTTTCCTCTCCACCCCCCGAGCCCCGAGAGAAGGCCCTTCCCGGAAGGGGCTACTGCTCCCCGAGGCTGCCTGACCACCCTGCAGACCCTGGGACCTAACCCGACTCACAGGTGGCACAGCCGGCCTCGTCCGCTCCACTTTCGCAGTCCTTCTCCCCGTCGCAGCGCCACGAGGCGGGCACACACTTGTGGCTGGCGGGTCCACAGCTCAGCTTCTCTGCAGGACACACCTGCTTGGCTGAGGAGACAGACACACGCGCATGGCTTAGCCAAGGAGGACACGGGGCATGGCGCCAACCAGTCCTCCCGCTGGACTCCAGCCACCCGGCCCGAGGCCCTGGGAATCTGTCAGGGCCTCCCTGCCCCGGGTCCCAGTTTCTTCATCTGAGAAGCAGCCTCTGTCTGCCCCTAAGACCCTCGGAATCCTACATTCTCACCACTCCCTGCCTAACGCCCTTTCATGGGCCCTTGGTCCCTGGCACTCAAGCCCCTCCTCGATCCAGCCCGCCCTGTCTGCCTCACCAGCCCCACCTCCCGCCCTCCAAACATCCCCTTTGAGCTCCAGCAACACAACATTGCCATGCCCTGCATGCTTCTCTGCCATTTCCCCGCCGTGTGCCCTGGGGTGAAATATGCCCCAGTCGGGCCTCAGTTTGGCACATCAGTGACTCCATGATCTGAACGTGTGGATGTGGAGGGCTCACCAAGGCCGCAGCAGCTGCCCAGGTAAGCCCCGCCCCCTGCTGTCCCCGCCCCCAGCGATGGTGCCGAGTCCGCTGTAGAGAGCGGTGCTGTGCGTGCAGCAGGGCCCAGCGGGACCACACAGCTATAATTACTGCAGTGGCAATCAGAGGCTGACTCAATCAGGGGCCTGGAGCCCCAGGGCTGATTCTCAATTTGGAAGAAAGAATGAGATCCCTGATCAGGGCTGGGGACAGCTCTCATCTTGAGCGGCCCAGGATGACCCACGTGACAGACCCAGCCGTGACAGACACATTTCAGACCTCTGCGGCTGGCTCCCTGCTACCTTCCAGGGTGTAAACTCAGTCGTCGCTCAGATGTGCCAGGCACAGAGCTAGATACTTAATCCGCACAATTGCCCGGCAGGATGAGGATTATGTCGAGGCCTCCAGCTTGGAGGTCGAGGGCAGGGGCTCTAGAACCTGGCTTCCTGGGCATGGATTTGGTCACTCACTGGCTATGTGACCTTAGTCAACAGTCCTCATCTTGGTGCCAACAGAGTGGGAATGATACTATTCCCTAAGTTAATGTCTGTAAGGCCTTTAGAAGAACGCCCAGCCCAGTGCTCACTATCCACTGTAATTCTCCAAATGAACAGATGAGGATTTGTTTATTCACTCAGTGAGTATCTACTGAGTGCTGCCGGGTACAAGAACTGGTGGTAAGCACTGGGCGCTAGTCACACAGCTGCTAAGAACCGAGTGAGGACTCAAAGTCAGCTGTGTCTGATGCCACACACTTGGCAGTCTGTTGCACCTGCCATTGGGGGGGGTCACTCATGCCTCCCCCTCAATTTTGCCCCCTCATCTCAGACCAGTTTCCCCTTCTCTGACTTTCATAGATGGGATGGCAGGGCACAAGAGATGGAGAAAAGGGGTAAGATGGGGCAGGGGGCAGGTGTTGGAGGCAGGGCCCCCAAGACACTACTATGCCAAGGGAGAGAAGTACCTGGGACCCCAGAGTTCTCCCTAGGAATACATTTCGTGAAACAGGAGGCAACCCACTGGGAATACAGGATTCATGGGATTCATTTTTTAGACATTCCCCTTCACAAATAACTGTTGCATAGAGCCCTAGAGAGTGCGGACTCTCCAAGATCTTTTGAGGCTTTAGTTGTCCTGAATGTGGACATCAGGCAGCCTTGGGGCCATAGTGCAGGGTGGTGAAGGAGGTCTGGCTGCTGGGAGGTGGGGCCCTTCCAGAGCCCCTCTATCACCCGCACACCGCAGGACCCCCGGAAGCACATGAGGGTGCTGAAGCCAACTAGTGTTTCCCAGACTCCTGACTGCAGGGTGGGCTATGGGGGCTGCTGGAATGCAGGTTCCTGGGCCCGGCTCATAGTAGACTGCATCCAGACTTTGAGGGCACAGCCCAGGAACCTGCATTTCAGTAACTCCCCTCAACCCCTGGGTGATTCCCACGCACCCCATCTGAGAATCACTGGGTTAACATTCTGCAAGTCTAAAAGATATAGAATATTTCATCTCTTTCAAATTCACTCCCATAAGAGTGATAGAGGTCTTCTGTATGCCTTCAAGCTCCTGAGAGCAATGAGACAGAGGGACAAGGTGATCATCTATCCTTGAGCCAGGCCTCAGGAAACGGAACTTCACGGGGGAGTTGGGAGGAAGCCATATTACTGAGCACCCACAGTGTGTCAGGCCACTCCATTTCCCATGCGGCCTGCAACCTCCCAGGCTATACGTGCCAACTCCAGAGATCATCACAGCAGTACCCCGGAGCAGAGCAGGGCAGCAGTCCTTCAGGTAAGCACTGCATTTGACAGAGGAGGAACCAGGCTCAGAGAAACCAAGGAACTGGTCCAAAGATGCACAGCAAGTGAGAGGCAGAGTCCAGGTTCCTCTGACTGAACCTGCCCTGCATGCTCCTGGGGGTAGAGAAGTAGCCTGAACCAGCCCCAAACTCTACACCCAAACGCCCAGGTGACTGAAATGGCCCTTGACCGTCCTCCCCACCTCTTGGGGCCTGGTTCTGCAGACCCCAGCACAGCAGGCAGCCGCTTGAACTGTTAATGAATATTTATATAGTTAATTGCATAACCTTTCAGCAAGGACAATGATTAAACAATCCATCTGCTTCCTTTCTTTATAATTAATAAGACATTTGCAGTGTCCTTAAATAGACAGCTCTAATTACAGGCTCTGGAGGATTCAGCAATGCCTGACACCAGCCTTCCTACCCTCAAAGAGCCAAGGCACCATCCTGGAAGGTGAGGACACAAGAGGTCACATCGAGGAGCACCCACTATAGTGACAAGAGACAGAGGTCCAAAGAGGGGAAGGGACCGCCTAGGCTACTGGATGCCAGGTGTCCCAACCACCCCTCTCTCCTAGAACCTGACCATCTCTGCTGTCATACGGCTCTTCCCCAAAGCTAGAATGGGAACCTCACTTTGCAGGCTCCAGGGTCAGGCCTCCTCACTGCCTAGTCCTGGGGAGCTGGTCTGGGTAAGCACTGATATGCAGGATCTCCTCATGAGGGAGGGGAGTGCTGTGACTACCTCCATTTTACAGATGAGGTGAGCCAAGCCCAGAGAGGGTAAGGTGTTTGCTCAAAGTCTTGTGGAGAGAGGCCAAGCTGGACTTCTAGCCCAGGTCTCTTATGTCCAAACACATGGCCTAACTTACCACACGTAACCACTGCCCATGAGAAAAGCAGGCCCTGTTGGTGCCCCCGGCACCTCCGGGCTGGAGAGGGTTCACCAGAGGAAGGAGGCTCACTGGGCCTTTACTCAGGTAGGGTCTGCCACATGGCTGCCTGATGTCCACATTCAGGACAACTGAAGCCAAAGGCCCCCAGGCAGCACGATGCAGGAGAAAGAGAATGAATGAGTTTTGGAGCTGGGCACACGTGGGTCCAAACCCATCTACTAAGATGCAGGTCCTTCGGCCAGTCAATCTCTCTGCACCAAGGCTCCATCTGAAAATGGGGCTACGTAATCTCCTAGAGTTGGTAGCTTGTTTAAATGAGGAAACATGGAGAGCTTGACACTCAGAGCCTGGAACACACTCAGAAACCAGTTGCCGCTGTTTCATCTCACGAAATCCTAATGTAAGAGGCTGTCAGGGCCTTGGTCTCGTCCCCCGGGAATGCACGGGATCACAGTCCACAGGGCCCACCGTGATGGAGCCTCTCTCCAAGAAAGACGCCCCGAGGAATGCCCTGGCCAACAGGTGTCCCCGAGGTCCTGAGAGGCAGGCGTGAAGAAGCCTACCGTCTCTCAGACACCAGGAAGCCTCCAGAGTCGGCAAGGGCCTGGAATGGCATGCTGGAGTGGCTGTAGGCATTATCAACTCCCAGAGAATCCTGCCCCAGAAATCCAATCCACTGGCGTTCTCTAATTTATGAGTTCACAAATTAATAAAAAGAAAAATGTCTGTCGAGTAAAAGAATGAAAGTGTCTGATGGCTGCTTAGTGAGCGAGGACATCTGCCGTGTCAGGACATGTGATGCTTAAGGGCAGACGACCTCCAGATGGGGACGGCCAGCTCCAGGAGGGCCAGAGCCTCAGGCGGTGGGGCTCCTCGTGTCCAGCTGCTGCCCAGGAAGCATGGCATGGGGCCACCCCATCATGTCAGGGGGCAGTCACGCCCAGTTCCTTCCCATGGGCTCAGGTGAAGTACTCCTAGCTGGTCAGCCTCTAGCTTGCCTCTGGGCCTCAGAAAACCTCTGGGCCTCCACTTCCTTATCTACAGTAGGAAGGGGCACTTCACTTGGTTCAGCCGTAAGGTCCCCCTTTCAGTGGAAAGGTTCTAAGATGATGAATAAATTCCCATTTTCAATAAGCAGTACCTAAAGTTGCCACCCACGCACCTTGAACCAACCTCCCCTTCCCCACGCCGTACCCCTCCCACAGGATGCCTGAAGGTGAGTCAGAAGCCGTCCCCAATCAAGTGAGCTATAATTAGAACTGAAATGCCACTTTGAATAGGCAAATGTCCCAGGCTTTCCTACTGTGACTCCTGGCCGTATTTGAGAGACACAAATCCCAGAACCAGAAGGAAAGAGAGCCTGGAGAAACCGCAGCTAGCTAGGGGCAGAGACACAGTGGGGGAGCACAAAAATGGGAATGTGCTCCCAAATCCCTTTCCCTCTCTATGCAGACCGCCTTCCTTATTCTAAAATGTTAAATTGTAGGGGCGCCTGGGTGGCTCAGTCGTTGAGCATCTGCCTTCAGCTCAGGTCATGATCCCAGGGTCCTGGGATCGAGCCCCGCATCGGGCTCCCTGCTCGGTGGGAGCCTGCTTCTCCCTCTCCTACTCCCCCTGCTTGTTCTCCTGCTCTTGCTATCTCTCTCTCAAATATAAATAAATAAAATCTTTAAAAAAAAGAATAATAATAATAAATAAAATAAAATGTTAAATTGCTGTATGTGGGAGAGAGGGCCTGGAATCAAAATACAGTAATAAGAGTAACACAGCCATTTACTCCAGCACCAACACTATGCCACATTTTTTCCATTTCGTTGTCGTAACCCCCATAGGGCAGGTGCCATCACTCCATTTTACAGATGAGCAAACTGAGGCTCAGGGAGACTGGGCAACCAACCTGAGGTCTCACAGGACCTGGACCCAAATATATCACACACCCAATCCACTACACTTTACTACTGCCTGTAATCTTTCTTCGAGCTGGCATAGTCCCTAGGAACCTGGTAGGCTACAGAGGTGAACTTGGTAGACTGTGGGGGTTGCTATGGCAACGCCAGTTAAATGGGCAGTGGGTTGGCTAGCAGGTTCCCATTTGGTGGGGAAGCAGTGAGCCAGCCTGCCGCCAGGTCCTGCTACCCCAAATTCTGCCTGACCCTTGAGGTCCCACTCTGGCCCGCTTCCTCCAGGCCTACCCACAGGCCATGCCCACCTCTGACCAATATAACTTTGCACAGGAAGTGGGATCCTGAGCCATGTGCCCCAGCTGGGAGAAAGAGGGTCCTAAGAGTCCAGGAATCTTAGATCATGGTCTTTGGAATTCTGAGATGTTAGAAACTGGGGCCCAGACAAGGATGGGAAAGTGTGCAGGACCTCACAGCAAATTCACTGGGACAGCCCAGAGGAGGGCTGGGCCTCCTGACTCCCAGGGTGCAGCCTTGAGTCCTGTTCCCACGGGCACTCCGTCAAGCCTCAGAGAGAGCCTGACCAGCCCGTCTTTTATCACAGAAGGCCAACCAGCCACAAACCACCTGTGTATCTTGGAAGCAAGGCCCTCGACTTCTCCAGTCATTCAACCGTCAAATAACAGTGCCTTACAGAGGGTACAAAGCAGGCCTGGGAGGCAGGAGGGGTGAGGCTGGAGGGTCCCTGCACTCACCAGGGGATGGGAAGGCAGCAACTGCTAGGACAAGCAAGAGGAAGAAAGACAGAGGGGCATGGGGCAGGGCATGGAGGAGAGGGATGGCAAGAGGGAAGCTGGGCAGGGGGGCAGGCAGGGGGGCGGCTGTCCAAGAGAGCAGGGTGGGTAGGGCCCTGGATCTGGGGCAGGGAAGATGAAAAGGGACAACGACACAATGAGACAGACACATGGGGAGAAGGGGGAGTCCAGCTCTCAGGCAGTAGGACAGACCCCAGTAATAACTGTGCTGAGGCTCCCCTCGTTCCCCTGTTGCCCCCAGTGTCCAGGGCTGGAGTGGGGCTGGGATAGCCCAGCTGGCTGACTACGGTGCCCCCAGCACAGCCCCTGGTGGCCGTAGCCCCCTCCCCAAACACACACTCCTGGCTGTACACGGCTCTGCCCCTCCTTAGCCGGGCAGCCTCGGGCAAGTGGCCAAACCCATCCTGGCCTCAGTTTCCTTCTCTTTAAACAGGGATCCAAGCTGGCCCTGAGGATGAGAAGCACAGTGGGCGTGGCTGGGCTTTGTGCCTTCTGCAGCTCACGACAAAGCTCCGGACCAGCCCCAGGACAGGTTGGCTGCCTGGCGGGTAAGAAAAGGACAGGGCCTGTGGCCTGGCCAGGAGAGGCAGAGGCAGCTGTGCAAGGAGACAAGGGGGCCTCCTGTCTCGGGCCGGGGTCGCTCTTGCTCTCCCTTTCTCTCTCTCACGGGGAGACTGGTAGCTCTGTTGCTAGGAGACAAAGAAACCCAGTTATCACCAGCCACAGCCTTAGATGGGCTGCGGGCCTCCATTGTCCCCGCCTCTGCCTCTGGGGCGAATGTGACCCCTAACGAGGATGGGGATTGTGACTCGTGGTCCGCACCAACCTTCCCATCCTCCACGTGCTCCCCACCAACCTTTTGTCTCAGTCTCACTCAGCTAAGGCTCTGCCTCAGGACTGCTGGGGCCTTCCCCGCCCCCTTCTCATCTCCTTTTTAATTTAACAAATGTCACAGAATGACCTGCCGGGTGTAAGTTTGCTTTGAGGATTAGGGCCTGGAAAAGAAATCAAGGAGAGACAAAGCCCGAGTGTGGGAGGCGGGCCTGGGGCTCTGGCTCGGGCCCTCGGCCTCACCCCAGGCTGCCTCTGTTGCCATCCATCCTGCCGTGGATGCTGGGGCTCCTGGGCTCAGCTGGCTTGGGGCAGAGGCCTCAGAGTCCTGGCTGGGTGGTCTTGGGCAAGTCACTCAACCTCTCTGAGCCTCAGTGTCCTCCTTTGCAAAATTCAGAAAGTGAACCCTCATAAGGCTGCCTTGGGAAGATGAATTAGTGCACGCAAAGAGCCTAGCACTGTGTCTGGCCCATGGCAAACACTTAATAGGCACTCACTGTTAGCAGTACTCCTAGAATTATGATCAGAGTCCTCCAGAAAAATAGCGGGGGAGGCTGTGGGGAGACCCGGAGGATATGCTCTGGCTGCTTCTGGTTAGAAGGCCTGTTTCTAGCTCCTGGTGCCCCAGGAGCAGGGCCCGAACTGCAAGAGGCCTGTGAGGGAGTCAGCAGAAACCAGTAGCAGCTAATACGCCTGGCCATTGGCTGGGAGCCCCCGACAGTGCGGCACAAGGCAGGTCTGGAGCTGTGTCTGACAGATCAACTCCACTGAGCCTCCCATCCTCCCAACAAGGAGGATCTGACGAGGAAGCTGAGTGCCCGCCCCCCCCAGCCCCAGCGCCAGGACTCACTGCACGTAGTCTCGGACTCATCAGAGCCATCAGGACACTCCTCCTCGCCGTCACACTTCCACCGCTCTGGGATGCAGTGGCCGTTGCCACAGGTGAAGTCGCTGTCTGCACAGGTCTTCTTGGCTGTGGGGCAAGGAGAAGAGTGTGAGGGGGCTTGGTGGGCCCAGGAGGCTTTTCTGGGATACGGTCAGGTGGCTCTGGGGTGACCAGGATGTGCACTGTCTGAAAGTAGGACCACATGACCTCCCACCACCCCAATGGGCCACAGAGGGCCTCGCCAACCAAGAGAGGACAGGAGAGACTCCCTTATTCATTCCTCAGGCATCTGCTGAGCATCGGCTGGAGACAGTGACACCTGGCCCTGCCTCCAAGTTCAGGAGCTCAGGTCCAACAAGGGTACCAGGATCCATGCTCCAAGGGACTGCCTGTTCTCCTGTCTTACTCCTCTTCCCCCAGAGTCCAGTTCCACTGCCACTGCCCCCAGGAAGCCTTCCCTGATCACCTACGGCAGTTACTTTAGCCCCTCTGGCCAGTTCTCAGCCCCTTTACTGGCCTGTCCTGCTCCTCCTAACCAGGCCCTTCTGGAAGCACCAGGGAGCTGCTGCTAATGAATCCTAAAAGCAAATGATTACTCTGAGACAAGATTAATGAGGTATGTTCTGTTTGGAGTGATGAAAAGACCATCTGCTGGGTGAGACACCCAATCAGTCTCCTGAGAGAAAGTGCTCTCGAGGCACTTACACCCCGGAAGGGAGGCTCCTCGGGGGGCTCTGAATCCCAGCTCTGCCTCTTTCGATCTGCGTGACCATGGGGGTGGTCACTTAACCACCGAGCCTCTGTTTTCTTATCTATATAATGGGAAGAAGAAAACGAGGGTGCTGAGGAGGAATAACAAGTCACAGTGTACAAAGAACATGGAAAGAGGTCCTGGCACCGAAGATGCAGTCAGCAAGAGCTACTGCTGTTTTTATGGTTTGAGCCTTAGTTAGATGCAAAGGAAACACGGGACATATATAGCAGACTGAGATCTCACAGCTGGTAACAAAACTGGGGTAACAGGGCAGGGGCCAACATGGCTTGCCTTTCTCCGTGTCCCTCCACTGGTCTGATGCTCCTCCGGGTAGGGACTCTGTCAGATTCGGCACAGGGCCCAACTCAGGGTGGATCTCAGTGGGGACACTGGACCAAATGGGGGCATGGCTGCCCAGCCTCTGTTACCACACCTCCAGGGCAGGGCTCACCTTCTCCCAGGGAAGCTTCTTCCCGATAGCCAGCCTTGGATTATGTAACTCCTCCCACAGACCTTCTGGCTGCCTCTGGGGCCATGTGACTGCTCCCCCTGGCCTGAACAGCCTGGCCGGGATTTGAGGACAGACACTGGGTCTCCTGAACCATTATATTTCTGCCTTTCAGTGGAATCATTGCAGGACATCTGTGTTCTAAGATGAGTTTTCTTCACACTTTCTTTAGAAGAATACCTCTGTCTGTGCAGGGTTAGAAGAAATGAGAGGAATCCGTCTACCTATAGATTTGGTGGGGGATGGGAGGCTCTGAGGCCCAGAGAGGGAACAGGGCTGGCCCAGGGAAACACAGCAAGGCAGGGATCAGAACAACTTCTCCTGCCTCTCAGCCCAGGCCCCCAAGCAGCCCTCCCTGAGCTCCACACCCAGGAGCTGGTGTGGGTAATAGATACCAATACCGCCTTTTGGTAAGTCACCGCCTGTAATCGTCTGAAAGTAAGTACAGTTATAAACCACCTGGGGCATTTTCTAACATGAGGACCAGAGCATCCCTTCCACAAGAAGCTCGGCGTCCATAGAAAAGAGAAAATGTATATCCTAATGTCTTCTTTATCCTGTTCTAACTTTCTCCAAGCACATTCTGTGTGCCATGACAAAGGGCCACGTATGTCCCCACTTGACACACGAGGAAATCCCGGCCAAAAAGTGTTAAGTACGTGTCCAAGGTCACGTGGGTGGGAGCAGGGCCACAATTTGACATCACAGTCAGATCCCTCTGTCCCCCCCAACCACAGCTCCCCAGATAAAACATTCAGCAGCATCAGATGTGGAAGAAAAGCCTCAAATGAGGTGGGAAAATCCCGCAGGAGCTTCGCTTCAGCATTCAGTGAGCTTGCATCTGTGCCCGGCTCGGCACTGAGCACATGGAAGAGAAATCAGCCCAACCTGTTCCCCAGGAACTCAGGGTGAGTGCTGAACAGGCAGAACCCAAAAGAGCAAGGTAAGCCTGACGAAGAAGGTGATGAAGGGGCTCTGTCCCTGGTCTCAGCCAGCCAGACACTATCGAAAGGCCCTTTCCTCCCTGGCATTCTGGGAACCTGGGAGTGAGCTTGGCTTCCCCCAGTGGGCCAAGCCCTGTAGGCACCAGGCAAGGAGCCCAGGGCAGCCAAAAGCACCATCGCAGTCCTGAAGGGCAGCCTCAGCGATGGATGTCCCACGCAGTGTTCTGGAGAAGAGATTTGCTTCCTGTCGTGACCGGTTTGGACATTTTCCACCCTGGCTCTGGCCTGGCACCTTTCACCCAGTATCCCAGGGACTCCTCACATCGGCAATCTTACAGAAGAGGAAACTGAGGGGGGTAGGTGGCAGAAGTGGGATTTTAATTCCATGTGGCAGCTGCCAAAGCTTGGGCTCTTCCCACTAAGGCCCTCAGCCACTTCCGTATTATCAGGCTAAGACGAGCCCAGAAAAGCAAATGCAGTGTGACCAGTGAAATAGCTCTCAGGTCCCCGCGGCCACAGGACAAGGCAATGGGGCAGATCAGCCACATCGCTCAGAAGTACCACATAAAGTATTCCCCTGGAATGTGCCTGGAAGTGTGCGCCAGAATAAACATGGGCCTGTGACAACCTGTCTCTGCTAATGGACCACTCTGGGGAAACTGAGGCAGCATGCTCATTTTCAGGTTGGGGACCATGACTCAATCACCTTAGTGGGCCATGTCTGAGAATGTAACCCCATGGAAAGATCTGGAGCAAGAGGTGAGACTGAATTTTGGCACAGCCACCTCCTCTCTGGGCGACCTTGGGCAAGTTCCTTCCCTCTCTGGGCAAGCGGGGATGGTGGCTTTCAGTGCCAGTGCAAGGACAAAAGGCAAAAGGGCTCTCGCAAGGGATCCCAGTGAGCATTCCCGTGTTGAGTCGGTCAGTGTAATGAGCCTGACAGGGGCATGAGGCTACATCAGCCCCGCCAAGGCATGAGGGCTGAGCAGTCTTTCAAGCCCATCAGAGCCAGCCATGCCAGATCCCATTCCTGGCCTTGGCTCCAACTCCCAGGGTGATTCCCTAGCTGGGCTCGAGGCCGTGGCCCCGTTTCCAGGGATTTATTTCCTTCCATGCCAGTCTGCCCCTTGGACAATGCCCACCTCTGTGAGCCCCTGTACTCCACAGCCCAGGAGCTGTGCATAGTCATCCAGGGTCTGCGACATCATAATCTGGTACCATGGCAACAGATGGGCTGCCACGAAGGATTTGGGATTCCAGAGGGCGGTGGGGAGGAGCCTACCCCTGGGCAGAGTTGGGGAGAATGGGAAATCCCGGACAAAGGAGGTAGGCGTTGCCACTTAAGAACACCGGCAGAGGAAAGCATCAGATACTCCGCGGTCAGTCAAACTCTGCTCTGCCACATATGGGCTGTGTGACCTTTTGCAAGTTACACAACTTCTCTGAGTCTCACTTTCTTCACCTACATTCAGAGATCATATCGCTGCTTTGCCAAACACACAAGGTTGTGGGAAGCGAATGGGCTAAGGATTGTGTCGGGGCTTTATAAACTGAAAAGCATAAAAGTGCAAGTTTGAGGCGTGTGAAGTCAGCAGCCCCAGCCGCTGTGCGTGTGACCTTGGGCCCACCCGTCACATAGGGCCTCCCTCCTCATTTGGAGATGGAGGTGTGGTGCCGACTGAATCTTAAGTCCCGCTCAACACCCAGAGTCTATGATCTCGTGAAATTATTATGATCACTCAGCACCTCCCAGCTTCTCCACCCCCAGAGGCCTCCTTCCCTGAGACAATACGTATCCTTCGTGCTGCTCTTTCCCCACCCACGTTCATCCAGCAGCCCCAGTGCAGACAGGGGGCTTCAAAACAAAGATCAGTCAGGTCTGCCAGGTGGAGCTGCCTGGTGTGGATTCCTCTTGGCAATCAGAGCTCTCTCATGTCAGAGCCCAGGGGCTTGACGGTCCCTAGGCAGCTCTCCCACTCTGCCAGCCAGAGAACCAGGGGCCAGAGAGAACGGCTATTCAGTCCCAGCACATATCTGTGGGAGGGCTACCCCTTGTGCCCTGATATTCTGACTCAGTCCCACTGCGTGGCCATGAAGCCAGAGGAGGGTCACCTGACCCAGCCCAGGAATCAAGGAAGGCTTCCTGAAGGAGGGGACCATATTCAAGGAAGAGGAGTCAGCCAAACCGTGGGAGGGACGAGAGCGACAAAGGGCATTCTGAGAAGGGATAACAGGGCCTGGGGTGTGGAGGAGCCAGCAGAATGGCAATTTGGGGCTGGAGAGGAAGCAAGTGGCAAGGGACCTGGGAGCTCCACTGGGCTGGCGGCCAACTGACCTTGCCTGGTACCAAGCTGCCCCTGGGAGGCCCCCTTTCCCTGAGCTCACCCAGCCTCTGCTGCCTGGGCTTTCTTCAGGATTTGGTGAGACTGTGTGAGACGGATGATTGGCCCCTAGCAGAGAAAGAGAGAGGCAAAGGGTAGGACAGAGAGCAGGGGTAGCCATCCATGCAGAGGTTTCAGATAAGTCTTGCTATTTTCCTCCTTTGTAGATTCATGATGCCCATTGGCTTACAAAAGGTCCTGAGAAGGCCTGCAGATACCAGATTGACTTTGTTTCTTCCAGCACTTCCCAAACCTGTTTAGCCAAGAAACTTCCTTTTTAGATGCCATGTCTATTAATTTCCCAAGAAACAAGTGGGCCAATGAACCACATCTGAGGAAATACGTTGTCGTGTAAGTCCCTCATCCTGCAGATAAGAAGATGAGGCCCAGGGAAGGGAAAGACTGGCCTGTGATCACACAGCCGAAGCTGGTACCTAGTCTTCTGTCTCTGGGCCAGCTCCTTCCACCAAGCCATGAAAAATAGGAGAAGGTAT